ACTTAATAATGATGTTGACGTGTGTCACCATAAGGTAATGTCATGTTATCAATGAAAAAATAGACAATTATCACCTCAGTATTTTTTTTTTAATTTTTTAACGACGAAGTATCAAATTGAGTCATAAACTAAACATTGAGTATGATTAAAAAATAAATAAAAAATATGTATCAAAACGAAATAAAAAGAATAGTTTAGGTATTAAATGTATAATTTATTTGGATTTGGTATAAGATTACGTAATCAAGTTTTTTCAAAGATGGTAATATGATATTACTAATAATATCAAATTTTGTTAAATGGAATAAAAATGAAGTGAATACCAAATGTTTCTTAAATATTAATGCAATTTTAATAATGTGAACAAATATTTAGCATAATATATATATATATGAAAAAAATACTAGTTACAAATAAAAAAATATGGATTAAGCTGAAGTATTTGTGAGGCGGATCAAACTTATAAATGATCATCACACAAAATATTGTTTCTTGCTGACCATAGGTTCCAGCAAACAATGGGAAATAAGGTATATTCTAATATTGGTCTTCCCCTCAAGTTAAGAATCAACCATTCATTAGCATTTTGTATATTATTGTTTCTTCTATTTTCATGGTTAAACTTTACATTAAGAATAATTAAACAAATTTTATTATGTTCCCTTGCCATTAAGACAAGGCCTCAATGACATCTTGCATATTTCAATGTGGTCCATATAGGGATGGACCAATAATGTTTTAAAAAAATTTCAAATTCTCATATAGTTCAAATATTTTTTTTAATATTTTCTACTTATGATTTAATTGTATACTCCCCTAATTTTATAATTTTATGCTCCTAAATTTTTAATATAGCTCGGGTTTACATCCCTATATAAAAACTCGTGTTAGTCCCTATCCCTGAAGTAATCTAATCTTCATATTCTATCTAATAGCACTACACAATCTTAATGCATCAGGCAATGTATAGAACTTCAAAAACTAGCTTAAATCATAACAAGTGTTACCTGGCAATTTTAAAATAGCAACCAACAAAGCACACAGATGAACATAAGAACTAAAAGCAGAGTATAAAACTCAAACATCAGCTAAACCAAATTCATGGCATGAAATATTCCATCAAATTCCCACATAAATAAAACTCAGCAAACAATACTTGGACTCTTCAATCCAAATTACCCTGTTGAGCTTAGAACCCTAGCTTGGTGCGGCGCCAGTGCCTTCTCTTGGCGTTGTACCTGTACAGTGCTATCCTTTCTTAATGGCAATGATAATAATGGAAGCGAATTAAAAATTTAATATTTATTTTGTAAATTTTAAAAGTTTGATGACTGAAATGTAAGTATCGTAAAAGTTTGAAGATCATTTGTGTAGTTTATTCAATAGTGAAATAATAATAAAAAAATTCTCTCTGTTTGGTTGACAAGAAAAAGCTAAAAACAAATACTGAAATACAGGGCAGAGAGAGAATGAGTTGAGCAAAAACCTAGAGAAAATGAGGGAGAGAGAATGTTGCACCCAACAAACTAAAAAAAGAAAAAAAAAGATACTACAAATTTCTTAAAGTTTGATGTTTTGTTGGAGAGTTGAAACATCTTAACTCTGCTTTGGGCTATCAACATCATAGTCCCTTCCTATACCTTTCACCTGCAAAGCTTTTCTCTCTTCTTCTTCTAAACACAGTTCTAGTTTCCAATTCTCTCTTACTTTCACTCTTTGTCCTTGTACTTTCTTTTTCTTTCTTTTTTTGGGGTTTTGGCTATCTGGGTTTTACTTGGAAGTTAAAAAAAACAGTGGATAATTTTGAAACAATTGAAATCTTCGGCTCTGTGATCTCTGTTTTCGTTTGGTTTTCTCTTTTATTGTTATTGTTATTCATAAATGACTATGGAGGAGAATGGGTGGATCTAGTCGTAAAGATGACTGCAAAGACCGGTTTCCAAATGGTATGCATGTTTTAGCCGTGGATGATGATCCTATTAGCCTCAAAGTTTTGGAAAATCTGCTTCGTAAATGCCGATATCAAGGTAAGTTCTTTTCTTTTTGAAAATTGCTTGCAAGGTGTTTGGTAAATTGCCTCAATGTGTCATTTCTTCGGCTTAATTAAGTGATTGGTTAACTTTTGAACACCGGAAGATCTGTCTGTTGCGCTTTGCAGTGTGCATTGAATGTGGACTTTGGTAATTGTAGCATGCAAGATTTGACTCTGAACATATCATTTATGGCTTTTGTCTTGCAGTTACCACGACAAATCAGGCAATTACAGCACTAAATGTTGAGAGGAAACAGGAACAGGTATGATTTGGTTATCATTGATGTTAATATGCCAGATATGGATGGCTTTAAGCTTCTTGAGCTTCTTGGGCTTGAAAGGGACCTACCTGTTATCAGTAAGCACTAAACCCTCTCTTTCGATCATATGTTTTTTTTTTCTGGTGGGATGGATAGTCGGTAACCGTTAACCGTAATGCTTTTTCTCGACTAATTCCCACTTCCCAGTGTTGTCAGCTCATAGTGATACTGAGCTTGTAATGAAGGGGATTACATATGGTGCTTGTGACTACTTTTTAAAGCCCGTTCGCATCGAGGAGTTAAAGAACATATCGCAGCATGTGGTCGGGAGAAAGAAGCTCGATTCCAAGGATCAAAGTTCTGCCAAGAATAGAGATATGGTTCAGGGAGGAAGTGGAGAAGTTGGCAAACATTGATGAACAGTTCAGACAAAAAATTCATTAAGAAGTGAAAGGACCAAAGTGAAGATGACGAAGAAGAGGGTGGCGATAATGAAGATGAGAATGAGGACCCCTCAACCCAGAAGAAGCCTCGAGTTGTTTGGTCCGTCGAGCTGCATAGGAAGTTTGTTGCAGCCGTCAATCATTTGGGTCTTGACAGTGAGTTTTGGGCTGTTTAGTGTCTTATGTTGAGATAAGAGTGTTCATGTCTGACTGCATTTTCTCTTCTCTTTATTCAAATGCAGAGGCTGTTCCAAAGAAAATTCTTAACCTTATGAATGTTGAAGGGATCACAAGGGAAAATGCGGCAAGCCATCTGCAGGTAAGCTCCTTTTCTTTTTATTTTTCGCATCATGATTCCAATGAATGTATTACCCTTGCAATAATAAGCATACATGGGATCTTGTTACTAGGAGGTCTGTTTTGTAGAAAAATTCAATATTCTGTGAAGATAACTGAATAAGTATAGTAGCAAACCCAATGTTTAGAAGTGCTTCGCATACAATAAGCTAATTATGTCTCCTTTAGTTTCCTTTGAGTCTCCTCTTTAAGCTTTTTGTCTTGTGTCGTCTTGCAGAAATATAGATTTTACCTGAAAAGACTCAGCACTGTTGCAACCCAGCAAGCAAACATGGTTGCTGCATTAGGCAATAGAGATCCGTCTTACTTGCGTATGGATGGCTTTGGAGATTTTTGCACATTGACTGGACCCGTAAGGCTTTCGAGTGGTACTCTATCATCTTATCAACCTGGTGGGATGCTCGGTAGACTGAACTCCTCAGTCTTTAAGCCTACACGTGATTTCTTCTGGTTTGATTCAATAGGGACATTCTCAAACCTTGAACAATTCAATCAATGGTCTCGGGAAGATTCAGCCAGCTGTGTTGCCTTCAAACCAGAATCAAAATGGAACTCTATTTCAAGCGGTCCTAACATCAATGGAATTCAACCAACTATTGCAGAATAAGTCCACTAACCGCTTTGGAGAACGTAATCCTGTTAATAATCCGAATGCTTTTGGTGTTGCCACAAATTTCCTGGATGCCAGAGTGACGATTGGTAGCTAGAGCAGTTCTCTATCTACGGCCTCAGGCTATCTGTTGTCATTAGCAAACACACAAACGGCACAACATAGTGATGAATTTGGAAATCAATCATCACTTGGTGGGAATCATTTGACAGAGTGTTAGATGCCACGAAAACTGGCAGAGCACTGTTCAATTATCTGATTTCTTATCCAGTTCATTGCCCACAAGTGAAGCTTTTGATCATGAGCAGTTGCAGACTAATAATTTGCAAGAAAGCGTTTCTTGGAGGAGCTCTCACCTAAATGACAGCCCCATCGATCTTTCCTCTTCCATGGCCAGTGCGGCACGTCTGGACGACTCTAGAAGAGACATGCAGTGCCAAAACGGTCCGAGTAATAATGCAATTCATGATATAGATTATGTGGCAAAGAAACAGTGGGGAAAATGCAGTTCGTTTGGCAGGATGGATTCCCTGGTTGCTGCAAGTGGGTCTATGTTGGACCAAAGCATTGCTGCTGTTAGCAGCAAAACAACCGACATTTCTTTCTTCGGTCAACTAAATGGTGATGCCTCTTATGTTCAACATCCTGAAGGTGGCAAATCGGCTTTTGACACAAGATTGACGTCTGATGAAGACTTCCTCTTTGAGCAGACAAAGCCGCGAAATGATTTTGGTCAAAATAATAATGGATCCTTTGGCGTTATAATGAATTCCATGATTAAGCCTGTATGACAAGGCTTTCGCAGTTTGATTCCCTTGTGTATGTTCTAAATATACTTGTTATGAGCATAAATTCTTTAAAAAACTGCATTCTGTGATGCAGGAGCAGTATAACGAGACCATGTTGATGGATGGGGAATTTGGATTCGATGCATTCCCCCTTGGGTCATGTATATGAAACAGTTAAGCCTATTGTCATCGATGCTTATTCTCGGATAAAAGATGGCGAAAAGGGCCATAAGCATACTCTTTGTAGGTGTTTGTATCATTATGTAAGTTATTCTCAGTTGCCAACATCTGATTTCTAGTGAGGTTCTCTGTCCCTTTTTGGAATTCCTTTTTCATGTCCTTTTTACACTTTGGTGTTGAATAGTAGCTTTGGGAAATTTATAATTTCAGCTTTTCATAGCTTTAGCTTCTTTCATGTCCGTTTTCTCGTAATTTTATTTGTAGTTTGTTGTGATCAAAGAAGTTGTCGCGCTTCCATGGATGTTGATAACATTTATAAACATAATTTCGGTACATATAAGACTTTATTATATGTAAAATATAAATATATATGTCCACACAGTAGTATGACAGTTGAAACAGGTGAAAATACAGAAGGGAAATAGATATTTTGGGGGCTTTTGCCCCAACAAGATTTAACCAAGCAACTTTTCTTGCCTGCTTGCAAGAATATTCTAGCCTAGGATAATTGAATGAACCACACGGAGTTTATTCCCCTTACCAACCCATTTGTCGAGCTCGTTGCTCCCACAATGTTGTAACTTTCCTCTCCCTGATTAGCGAGGCCTCGGCTCGTTCTCTTGCTTCCTCACAGGTTTCAGTGGCAGCGATACATTTCTCCACCTCCTTTTGGTACTGGGAAGCCACCCTTTTCGCTTCACCAATGGTGATGTTCATATGGCGGGAATGCTCTTCTGCAACGGCCTCCTGCAACTTCAACTCCTCTGTCAGAAGGTCCACAAATTGCTTCTCCATCTCTTGTTTGAGATCAGGGTCATTGTTTCCACAATCTGCGTTGTCATAGTTTGATTCAGGCATACGTGCTTTTGGATTAAAAAGTTGAATACAAAGAAATAAGTTTAACCAATTTGAGTTAATAGAATAAACTCCAACCTGTGATGGAGAGATTAGTCAATCCTGCAAAAGAAGAAACAAAATCACAAAAAAAAGTTACATAGAGATAACCTAAGTTTCGAGTAGCAAACACATGAACACTTGACAAACTTTTACAACAATTGCAGCTGAGACTAGAGGAAACACAAAACAAGGAAAACCAACAGCATAAATGCATAAGAAGCTTCAGATTCGGCACGAAAGGTCATCATCTCAAGGTAATATAGTCCAAACACACGAGGCGATAATATCAGATGTGAAAGAAATGAAGTTATTAGTTCACAAATACAACAATGCAGCTAACTGATATGATATACCAATAGTCATTCCAGGAACGTAAGACCAGTTCACTGTCCTTGACGTAAAACCTGGAGAAGGATCAAAATCACCAGACAAAGGGAACCCATATTCTTTACTATGATATGTTATTGCATGGTTAGTAAGCTAGAACCCAGAAAGGTCATCACCTAACTCAACATACTTCCCTGCATACAAATCAGAAATGGATATAGACATGGCAATCTCCATTCAAGTAATATAAACAGAGTTACTGTGCACATATAGTGTTTGGGTGCAGAGGCTCGTATTTGTAATGCAAGGTATCGTCTGTTTCGACCCGAAACTATCTACAATTTTGTCACAAGAGTTACCTGTTGTGAGATTGGATGTTCCATAATACAACAGCAACTCACCTCAATATCTGATTAAGCAAGCACAAATCTGAATTCAATTTGGGGTTTACTTGCATATCAACAACCAAGCAGAGACATCAGCAGCAGCAACAGATCAAAACCCCAAATTGAAGAAACAAGAATTTCACAAAGAATAACAAACAAATCTAAACCCAAATGAAGAACTACTGTACTCGTATCAAATCCAAAGCTCAAAAATGCAAAATTAGCAACAAAAGCAGATCACAAGATTTCAAATTTCCCAATATGCGTATTCCATAACTACACCCCAAAACCAAAATTTGACAACAACCCAGAACCAAAACCAAAATTTGACAACAACCCAGAATGAGAGAAGAATGGATACCGGGGGCAATCTTGAGAAGGGAAAGAGGAGGAGGACAATCACAGATGCAAGGGGGACAGGACGATTTGGAATCACCAAGCTTGAGAGTTTTGTTGAATCTCCAGTAAAGAGCAGGTCCACAAACTGCAAGTGCTGAAACCACGGCAAATGTTACAAGGCATAGCCTCAAGCAAGTCCCTGATCGCCTTGACATTGTTTCCTATTTCTCTTTCTTTTATGGAGTTGATGGAATATTGAGATCTAACCAGGGATGCAGTGATTGATGGCCATAAATATGAAATTAACAGCTTCAGCTGCCCTTTTAAATTTTAATGTTTTCATTCCCATGTTTTTCCATTAAAAAGTTGAATAAAAAGAGGGTCAAATTGCACTTCACTGCTTCCAAAATCCATGGTTTAGGTAGATTCACCGACGCGACGAATGAAGTCTATGTAGGCGCCGGCCCATATACAAATTCCTTGGTATCTCCTCGGGCAGTGGTAAACACTGGATAAATCAACACATTTAACCGTTAATTATCAGTCATAAGCTGTTAAAATGAAATCTACAAATTTAGGATTAATGTAAAAAATATCGAATTATATTTAATTTATATTTACGTGCCTAAATTTTTTTAGTTAATCATAACAATAATTAAAAGTTCTGTTTATTAACACTTGTCATATTTATATAATTTTAAAAATTTTATGTAAAATAATACGATTGAAATTATATTTTAAAAAATTCTCAAAATTTTATCAAATCTTTAATGAATCTCAAAATCTCACGTTGATCGCTACCATTTATCCCGTTATCTTCGATCGAACCTCCGCACAACGACAAGATGAACTCGACGACTTAGACCTCAGAAACCCGATGAACATTCGATGAACCAAACTTTAAAAAATCGTAATACCCATAGACCCGACGACTAAGGTGATGATAGATGACAAGAAAGAGGTCAAAGATGACGTGACAATATCAGTGACCGACAAAAAAAATGATAAGATTACGAATTATAGAGTTGGTTTTAAATTTTAAGGATTTGATTTTTTTAGTTTTAGAGAAATTATATTTTTTTAGTAATATTTTTATTTTTTAAAATTTTTTTAAATTATTTGAACGTAACATAAATTTTTTAACGTACGTTACGACTAAATATTTAAAATGGTAATCTTTATAACAATAAATATATAGATTAACTAAAAATTTAAACAGTTAAATAAAAAATATAACTTAAACATTTTTATATTAAGCCTTAAATTATATATGATACGAGAATACTACCCTATTGTAACCATAATGTCAACCATGAATTTTATCAGTAATCAACATGATTGAGTACAACAATTAATCCTTATGAGTTTACATATAAATTAAATTAGTCATGTTTAGGGGTATAAATGAATATATCATTCGATGAATTATTCGTGAATTGTTTATATGATGTTCATTTGTTAAGTTAAATAAATAAATATGAACAAAATGTTTATGTTCATGTAATAAATTGAAAAAATACGAGTATAAGTATATTCAATTTGTTTATGTTCACGAACAAACACGTTTAATGACTCGTTTATAAGCTAATTTATTTTATTCTCATTTTCTTTTATTCTTTAATATTTTAAATATGGGTGAATATAGATACTAAATTGAATACAAGATGAATTTTGAAGTTTAAATTATAAAGTCTAAAGAGTTTAAGGACTAATGATATAATTTTACCATTTTTTTGCTCGCAAATAAAAAGATAAAAAGAGAGTGTCAATAGTCGAGAGGACTTGAATTATATAAATGTATATAGTCGCGAGATGTTAAATGTATATGTTGGCGAATATATAAACAAACGTGTTCGCGAACGTTAGACAAACATATAAGTTTAAAATTATTAAATATTAAAAAAATAAACAAATAAACAAGAACACAACATTAAAAGTTTAAACGAACACGAATTAAACATGAACACATTTAGAAATAAATAAATAAAGATGAAAATAACTTTATTCATTCAAGTCCGATTCATTTAACCTGTTAGTCTTGCCCCTAACTTAGGTCCAATTGCAATTTAGATCCTTGCAAGTTTAAATATAAGTTAATTTTTAGATTTAGATACGTAATAAGTGATTATTAGGAGTTGTCTAGCTAAATAAATTGACTCCTAATATTTGATCATATTTCCAGCACATAATAATTACTAAAATTTTAATATTTGCTTCACCATTGGATAGATAATATCAACAAAAAGGAAACATGGATTTGATCTAAATTAACTGTTTGTACCGAACTTGTCTCAACTTATTCATGTCTGAGATCTGCACAGTATTCATTTAACCACTCTCGGATGATCCCGACTTCTTGTTTCCTCAGTTCAATAAGCCAGTCGGGATCGTCTCTCGTCGACGACCGGAAATCAACATGAAGAGCTCCTAATGACTGAAGGGCAAGTGGATGAATTTCTTACAATGCATAATAATCCATCGATGTGTAGGACATACAATGCTTATTGTTCATAGTTCAAAACATACCCTTTTCTTTTGACAAGTGCATTGATTCTGGAAGATATATTCTTCAGCACGCTGTAACATCATTCGTATCATACATCGGTTTTAATTGCGATGAATCGATGCCGATTTTAGTTCATGGAAGAAGTGATCTATGGCAAGCTAACAGAGAACAACTTACCCTCCTCGGCTCCATGGATCCTGCATTCCATTGGAGAATATGATATTGCTACCAAATTTCTTCAACAGATTCTGAATTATCTGCATCGACAAGGGACATCGATAAGTTCAAATATTTTCGAAAATGGTATATCGGAATGGAACGGAAGAGGAGAAAACGACCGAAACGAACTGACTTCACCACCGAATTCAGTCGTAATCCAGTGTGGCCGAGGGGAAACATGCTATCCTTAGAGCAAGTCATCGGCATAACCATTTCCGTACATGACTGTATAATCGTTTTCACCTAAAAATTCCAATCGAGTTTTGGATCGAATAAAACGGTCCTAAAACAGGATCGGATGGAGTGAAGAGTTAAGACTTTTCTGATCGAATTTGGGTAGATAAAAATCTGACCCGACCTACTCATTTTGGGCTTATAAGTCGGCTTAATTAGGCCCTAACAATTCAAGTAAACCATTTGTCTCTTTGCTGAGTTGAAGAGAAACCATTTGTCTCTTTGCTGAGGTGAAGTGAAAGATGAAATTGCCTAATTGGACTGTTCTTACCATTTCTGTATCACTCCATTATTGCCCCCTGTTACTTGCTTCTTAAGTTTGTTTACTTGCAATACAATCTCACCATTTCAAAAACTCACATGTCCCCATCACCATAAACGGCCCAGAACCCTCCATCTGCATGTGGCAGTTGCAGGCCATCTATACGCTAAACATGTATGACCCTCAGCCCTCCACGATTCACTCAACATTTCACATTTCCAAACACTATTAAAAACACCAGCAACAACCACTTCTCCCCCCCCCCACCAAAAAAAATCTAAAACAATAACAATGGAAGTAGTGAAGAATCATCTATACGCTAAACATGTATGACCCTCAGCCTCCACGATTCACTCAACATTTCACATTTCCAAACACTATTAAAAACACCAGCAACAACCACTTCTCCCCCCCCCCACCAAAAAAAATCTAAAACAATAACAATGGAAGTAGTGAAGAATCTGGACCTCCAAAGATTCATGGGAAGGTGGTACGAAATAGCTTCCTTCCCAAACTTTTTCCAGCCCAAGAATGGGGAGAACACAAGGGCAACGTACACGGTGAACGAAGATGGCACGGTGCATGTGCTCAACGAGACGTATAAAGATGGCAAGAAAGTGTCAATTGAAGGCACTGCTTACAAGGCCGATCCCAAGACTAATGAAGCCAAGCTAAAAGTGAAGTTTTATGTCCCTCCTTTCTTGCCCATCATCCCTGTCACTGGTGATTACTGGGTTTTGTACATTGATGATGATTATCAGTACGTTCTTGTCGGTGGAGGACCTACCAAGAAGTTCCTTTGGGTGTGTTTAAAACCCTGAATCTCTTTTGTGGTTTGTCATTGGTTGGTAATTTAAACCCTGATTTTTTTTCCAGATATTATGCAGGAGTACACACATGGGTGATGAAACCTACAACTTTCTGGTGCAGAAGGCCAAAGATTTGGGGTATGAAGCGAGCAAACTGCATAAGACCCCACAGACCGATCCGCCACCGGAAACGGAGGATGTCCCAAAAGACAAAGGCATCTGGTGGATCAAATCCCTGTTTGAGAAGTAGGAAACTGAAATGAATGGAAGCATGGTGTATGCATGTCAGATATTCAAATAAACATCGCATCAGAATCTCGTCTTGGTAGTGTTAAAGTCTGATACATGTCTTTCTGTTTTTGTAAAGAAGTAGCAGTTTGAATACAAGGTTATGTGTTGTTCTTCCCTGAAACTCCATTTTAATGGTTTTGAACTATGAACAATGATGTTTTAGCTGTTTGATGATGATGGAAGGATGAAGAAGCTTATGCAGTTCAATTAATTTGTTTTTTTTTCCAATCCTAAGGTGGAGAATGGTAGGTGAAGGGGACCAGGTTGAGTTCATGAAATTTGTTATCCTCTCTCTGATGTGACTGCAACCTTATCTTCAACATGGGCAGTTCAATTTGGACCACGGAGTTTCTACTTCCTTGAAACAATCTTTGGATTTTATGGAAAGTACAAGTTTAGGGAAAGTTTTAAAGGAAAGGTCTCTAATTAGTAATTATCCCATTAGTTAATATACTACAAAAACATAACAATTTTTAACATCCCTGATATAACCACATTTATGATAACGACTTTACTCAAATCCTCCATTAAATGGATTAAATGTTGGGATGCAAAGGTACACATATAAGTGCTTCTATTAAAATTATTGTATTGATTATTAAATCAATTTAATATAAATTATAAGATTCGTTTTTTTTTAAATTATATTAAAAATTATTGTATAATATTTGGATGATATCAGGTACATAATTTTTTATTTTTTGATAAAAAATTAAATGTATTCTTTATAATATTAAACACAATAGATAATATTATCTATTATAAAAGACTTAATAATATTATTGTCAAAATATAATAATAATTTAATTAATATTAATATTTATTATAAACATACCATTAACTTATTTACCCTAGTATATAATTTTGAAGGGGGAAAAGATATAACTTCGCATATGTTTTTGTTGACTTGTAATTAATTTTACATTGACCAACCATTTTACTCGAACCAAATACTAAAAGTAAAAAAAATATTTTTCGAAAATTTAATTACAACAAAATGAACATATTCTTGTTTTTTAATATAATCATTAATATCTTATCTACTGGTCTATTAATTAAGATTGGATATTACAAAAACTCATTATAAGGATGATCCTTCCCGTCTAATTCGCTTCACTGATAATTATGAGACTCAAATCCTAAACATTGTTGAAGAAACCTATAATTCACTTCACTCGTAATTATGAGACTTAAATCCTAAACATTGTTAAAGAAATCTATAATTCACTTCACTCATAATTATGAGACTCAAAATCCAAAACATTGTTAAAGAAACCTATAGCATCATCTCACTAAATCAATTGATAAATGATAAAATATTTTATTTTATTTTTTTACTAATACATGAATTAAATTAATCCATTTAATAATAATTGGATTAATTTGAATCTATCTCTATAATAAGAGGATTAGATTGAACCAATCTCTATACTACACAAACCAAATCGGTTAACCATATAAACAAATAAAAGTTACCATCAGCTCCAATTGCTAGAACACTTGAATGTCATCACAACATACCTGTGTTTCTCTACAAGTTTTACAGTATACTACAACATTGATTGTTACTTTTAGCCCGGCTGTAGAACATCTGTTTCAATAACCAAAAGAGGATTGATTTTAGCAACAACATATGGTTGTTCCAAAAGAACAATAAGGTTAGACTCCCAACCCGTGTACTGACACTGGATAGGGATGGATAGAGAGGGCAGGAAAAGGCAGTCGCGTCCTTGAAAATTTAAAATTACCATTTTAGATTTTTCTGTATTTTTTTTATTGAAAATCTGTTTTCGTCCCCCTAGAGTTTTATAAATTCATTCATTCATGATGTTCGCCGTTGACTCCGGATATATTTCGATTATTAGTCCACAGTAGCACTTTGTAAGTATTAATTCTAATGATAGTCTATTTCGACATAATTGTAACTCCAAAAGAAAAATAATATGCAAAGTGGATAATGCAATATTGTCTTGCACATGTACCTGAGATGCCGCACTGAGATCTGAACTCGTCTCAACTAAACTGTCCAGCTTCTCACCTCGTGCAATCACGCTATCAATTGTTTAATGCTGCATCAAAGACATAATCATTTCAATGTTTGAGAGAAGAACTTCTAATAAATGAAATCCAAGCTAACACAAGCATACCGATACTTTTCCATTGAAATGATATAATTCATCACAACATTACAAATAAAAAAAGATCCAAATATGGACAGTGAACAAATAGATCTTGGGAGCTGAGGATGACATAGTACGATAGCTGAAAGCTAAATGGAAACAACAGAAAAATCTTCACTTTTCCTACAAAAATAGAAAAATACTTACAAGGATGACTTTAGTCTCATCCAACTCCCTCCGAATTTTCAATAATTTATCAGCCTCTACAGGGTCTTGAAAACGGTAAAAGGCTTATGTAAGGTTTTTAAATATAACTATCCTATAAAGCTCCAATAATATCCTTAGAAAAGAAAATGTGAGATTAATTTGGAAGGTATAAGTGTACATCATCCCATATTAAAACATAGCAGAAATGAAGGACAAAGAAAACAGATACCTGAAACTTGGTCAAAGCCTCATCCAAATAGGTCCAAGTTTGAGTGCTGTCAGCTTCTGCAGTTCTCCATGATTCCCCAAAGCTTTTCTGTTATTCATTCACCACCTGCCAAACATTACCGTTTGAAAATCTTCCAAAGATCCCACAGAAGATCCAATCTCACACACATATTTCAGAACACCATATGTCAAACGTGATGAATGTCACCCACAGACTCTAAACGCTATCTTAAACTCTTAATGTATTATAGGCACAGACACAAGCTGTAACATCCTCAATATCGGGTTAGTGACCAAATTATAAAGTTTCAGAAATTGGTGATTAAAGTAGGATAATTGAATAGTTCAATGACTTATTGGAAATATGATGAAGGTTATTCAGTAATTATTAAAGGAAATAAAGGGTAAATTGGTCATTTGACCAGAAAGATTTTTTATCTTTCTTTTAGGGTTATAAAACACGTGGGAAAGGAGAGAATTATCCAGAGTCTTCTTCTCCAGCTTCTTCTTCTCCCCGTAAGCCTCATTTAAAGGTGAGTTTAATTTCAACTGTTTAATTCTTGGATTTATAAGTTGATTTTGATTCTTGGAGTATTATATAAGCTTAAGGAAAGCTTATATAAGCTTTAAACATCAAGAATAGAGAATTAGAAAGGAAATGATATGAAGGGTGTAGAAATGAAATTTTGTTATAGAAAGGTTTTTGTAGTTCTAAAGATGGATTTGACTTGTCAAGGGTATAATTAAAAAGCTAGAAGCAATAGAATTGAATTTGGAACATGTTTAAAATTTAGTGTAATTCTTGAATTACATATGGAGAATAGGATTTTGATGTTAAAGAGGTGCTTAATGAATAGGAATGAGTTTGAATATGAGTATGTAAGTTAAAATAAGAAAGGGGATGATATATGAAGTATTAAGCTGAAAAGAGTGGATTTTCGGGCATAAAAGAGGATTCTGGGCAGAGTGCATCGATGCACATTCATAGTGCATCGATGCATCAAGGTTAAAACCCAGAAATTACTTGAAGGTGTATCGATGCATTGGTAATGCATCGATGCACTCTTTTAAAATAGAAACATCGAATGCAA